AAAACTACATACACACACACACACACACAAAAAAAAAAAAGGTAAAGAAAAATGACACCTCCAAAGAAGTACAATAATTCCCCCAGTACTGGAATCAAGGAAAAGGAAACTTGTGAAATGTTTCAAAAGGAAATCAAAATAACAATCTTTAAAAAGTTCATTGAGAAATAAGGGAATACAAAAAAGTCAGTCATGATCTGAATAAGAAATTCAACAAAAATATAACATGAGAAGAATCAAACAAAAACCCTGCAACTGAAGAAATCAAGAATGAAATGAAACAACTGAGACCCAATCGACTAGATCAAGCAGAAGAAAGAGTTTCTTAACTTGAAGACAGATCTTTTAGATTAACCCACTCAGAAGGTAACAACAACAATTTAAAAAAAGAATAAAGAGAGCAAAGAAAGCTTATGCAAAATTGGGACATTCCTAATAAGCAATCAGATATTGAACTATGGGGTTTCCAGAAGGAAAAGAGATGAAAAAAGCCACAGAAACATATCAAACAGAATAATCATCGAACACTGCCCAAGTCTTGGGGGAGACACTGACATCAAACCCATAAAGCTCATAGGCTTACCTGGAAGAGGTTCTCTCCAAGGCACATTAAAACCAAGTGCAGAAGTCAAGACAGAATTCTAATAGTAACAAAAGAAAAATTGTGATGTGCTAGGAAATCTACAACACTGGACTAACAGCAGGATTCCCAGCAGAAACCTGCAAGCCAGCAGAGTGCTAAAGAAAAACAGCTACCAGTCAAGAATAATATACCCAGCAAAGCTACCTTCAGAAATCATGGAAAAGTAAAGCTTTTTCTCAAAAAGAAAAGCTGGATTGGTTTTATAAGAAATGCTTAAGGGAGTCCTACATTTGGAAGCAAAAGAGTGATAATTACCATCATGAAAACACATGAAAGCAGAAGACTTTCATAAATACATACACAAAGGAGAAACAGAAAATAGTGAAATCTTATTACTACAGAAAAGTATCAAATCACAAAGGTCAATAAGAGAGGAAGAAACAAAGGATATACAAACAGAAAAAATTAACAAAATGACAAGAATAGATCACTACCTATTAACAGTAACTCTGAATGCAAATGAATTAAATTTTCCAGTTAAAAGATATAGATAGGAGCTGGCGCTGGGGCTCAGCAGTAGAGCACTTGTCTCACTATGTGAGGCCCTGGGTTCAATCCTCAGCACCACATAAATAAAATAAAGGTATGGTGTCCAGCTAGAACTCAAAAAAAAAAAAAATTAAAAAACAGATATAGACAGACTAGGTTTAAAAAAAAAAAAAAAAGCAAAACACAACTATATGTTGCCTATAAACAACTTGCTTCACTGATAAAGACACCCAGAGAACAAAAGTGAAGAGATGGAAAAATATATTCTATGCAGCTGAAAACCAAAAGCAAGCTAGTAGCTACTCATTCCAGATAAAACAAACTCTACATCAAAAATCATAAAAAGGGCAGGGGCTGTGGCTCAGTGGTAGAGCGCTCGCCTAGCATGTGTGAGGCCCTGGGTTCGATCCTCAGCACCACATTAAAATACATAAATAAAATACAGGTATTGTGTCCAACTACAACTAAAAAAAAAAATACCACAAAAAAATCATAAAAAGACAATTGCAGAAGCTTGAGTACAGTACAGTAAAAGAGGAGGGAAGGATAAGATAACATAAAGAACCAATCAAATACAAATTAATAGACAAGCAAAAGGAAGACTAGTAGAGAAAGGAGAATGGGAGGATCATGCACTGAAACTGATCTCCATGATGGACAAGTTTGTCAGAATGAACCCAATACTATGTACATCTACAAAGTTCCAATTAAAAAAAAAAAAACAATGACCTTAAAAACAGTCAAAGAAAAAAATACATAAAAAGTGGCAGAGAAGGTCATTACACAGTGGTAAGAGGATTTTATATATACACATAGATATATATAAATTTGAGGAGACAGATACACATATATAAATAAATAAATATTATGTATATCCACATCCCAACAGAGGATCACTGAAAAATAAAAAAGCGAATATTACTAAATCTAAAAGGAAATACAAATACAAACAGAAAAAAATTACATAAATGACAAGAGTACATCACTACCTGTCAACAGTAACCTTGACAGGTTAACCTTCACTACAAATACAATAATTGGGTACTCCATCACCTATATGGATAGATCAATCATCCAGACAGAAAATAAGCAAAGAAACACCTGAGTTAAACTATACTGTAGACCAAATGAAACCAATTTAAAGAACATTTCACCTAATGTTTTTCTCATCAGAACATGAAAAAATTTCCAAGATAAACCTTGTTACAAAACAAGTCTCAACAATTTTTTAATAATCAAAATCATTATTATGTATCATTTCTGACCATATAAAATGGAATAAAATTAGAAGTCAACAAAAGGACCTGTGGGAATTGTACAAATACATGGGAATTAAATAACATGTTACTGAATAACCTGAAGAATTAAAACAGAAATTTTAAAATGTCTTAAGACAAATGAAAAAAGAAGCATAATACACCAAAACCTATGGGAAACAGCAAAAGAAATACTATGAGTGAAATTGAGCAATACATGTCTTCAATACATGTCTTCTTCAAAAAAGGAAAAAGATCTCAAATAAACCATTTAATAGTGCAACTCAAGGAACTGAAACAGCAAGAGCAAACCATACTCATAACTAATAGAAGGAAGAAAGGAAGTGGAGAGAGAAAAGAAGGAGGGGAGGGAGGTGGAGGGGGGAGGAGAGGGGGAGGAAAGGAGGGAGGGAAGAGAAAAAAGGAAAAAAGAAACAATAAATTGAGACTAAAATAATACAAAAGATCAACAAAAGAAAATTTTGGGTTTTTAAAAAGGTAAACAAAATTGACAAACCTTTAACTAGACTAAGAAGAGAGAGGGGAGCAAGGAGGACAGGGAGGAAGAAGAGCCAAGTAAATAAATCAGAAATGAAAAAGGATTTATTAAACTGACACCACAGAAATACAAAGATTATTCTGGACTATTACGTACAACTTCATAACAACAAATTGGAAATCCTAGAAGAAATGTGTAACTTAACAGACACACATAACCTACCAAGACTGCATCATGAAGAAACAGAAACCTAAACAAACCAATAATGAGGAATGAGTGGCAAATAAGTATATGGGAAAATGCTCAACATCACTGATCACCAGGGAAATTCAAGTCAAAACCACAATAAGATGTCACCTTACCCCTATGGCTACTACCAAAATATAAAAAAATAATAAGTGCTGGTAAGGATACAAACAAAAGAGAACTCTCAAATACTGTTGGTGGGAACATAAATCATACAGCAATTATGGAAAACAGTATGAAGGTTCCTCAAAAAAAATTAGAAATAGAACTACCATATAATCTTGCAATCCCAGTACTGAGTGTACATATCCAAAGGAAATAAAATCAGTATGTCAAAAACATATCTGCACTCCCATTCCATTGTTTATTGTAGCACTATTCACAAGAGCCAAGATATGAAATAGCCTAGACTTTCATCCGTGAATGAATGAATACATGTCTGTCGTGGAATAGTATTCACCTATGAAAAATGAAACCTTGTGATGTGTGGCAACAAGAATAATCCTTGAGGACATCGTGTTAAGTAAAGTAAGTGAGGCATAAAAGGACAAATACTACACTTTCTCATTTACATGCGGAACCTAAAAAAAAATGGTCTCAATATTAGAGGACGGGAAGGGCATGGGAAAGAAGGGGATGGGAAGAAGATGGTCAACAAGTAGCCAGATAGGAGGAATAACCTGTAATGTTCTACAGCAAATAGGGTAACTATGGCTGACAACAATTCATTGTATGTTAGCTAAAGAGGATTCTGAATGTTCCAACATAAAGAAATGATAAATATTTGAGATAATGGATATGCCAATTACTCTGATTTTATCATTATACACTGTATACTGTTTGAAATATCACACTGTATTGCATAAATACACACTATTTGTCAATCAAAATAAAGTACATATTAGAAATAAAAGTGATCTATAATAAATATAGTCTTTAAAAGCTTTCAAGTTATGAGAGGCAGTCTAAGCATTATGAGTGTTTCAGACTATTCAGGTAAATTCACAATGTGTCCTCCTCTCTTTCTGGCACATGAATAAAGAGGATGAAGCATTCAACAAACAAACAGACCTTTCTAGCTAAGCCAGAAGAGCAAAGTAAGAGCAGGCTTTCATTACATTCTACTAATCAAAATAAATGGAAGACTCTGCCTATGGCTAAGTTAAAAACAAAATATATATATATATATATATATGGCTGGGGTTGTGGCTCAGCGGTAGAGCGCTCGCCTAGCGTGTGCGAGGCCCTGAGTTCGATCCTCAGCACCTCATAAAAATAAAATAAAGAGGTTTAAAAAAAAATGTTCCAAGCAGGAAGGTAGTTTCCAGAGAGCTTGGGAGAGTTTCTAATATGTAGAATGACACTGTGAACTTAAGGGACTTGGGCCTGGGTAGGCTTTAACTCTATGGTAGCAGGTAAGCTAGAAAGAAACAAACTTTCTGATTTTGTCTGAGAATTATACTGAGCCTCGATTAAATGAAAATCAGAAAAACTAATGATTAGTGAGAAACACAACAACTTAAAAAAGGTATTCATTTGATCAAACACTTATTCTATAAGACTATGTGATATTGCTGTTTAATTTATTTTTTATTTACAGAAATAACGTCTTGGAAATTCTTAAAATTGGCCTCTAGCTCAGACCTGAGGGGGAAAAAACAAAACAAAAGACAATAGCTTCAACCCTCCAAACCCATGTTTGGCACACAGCCACAGCACCTAATTCAAACCCATGTGTTCTGGATGTCCACAGACCTCCCCTGACATTCACAAACCGTGTGAGACACATAAACATCTCCAGCAATGCTGCCTTTCATTACCATGCAAGCAACATTCTTATACCAAAACTGCTTTAATAAATCCTCACCTTCCACGGCCTTCTAATTCCTTTGAAAAAATCAGGCATCCACATTGGAAGAACAACAGCTTCTCTTAGCAATTTCTTTGCTTCTTCCAGATCTGCTATATCATCCCTGTGTAAGAACAACAAAGTTTTATGATGTTTATCCAGGATGCTATGATTTATGGTTGAAACTAATTCTTTTATATTTTTTACTTATGAAATTATTTTAATATTAAGAACATTGTTCTAATCCTTACTGCATAAAATGATCAGTGAAAACACTACAGTTATTAGGACATGTTATTTAATTAATGAACTTTGTCAGTTAAATCAACATCAAATTAATGTGAAATATCCTTGGTTTTATACACACACACACACACACACACACACACACACACACACACACACAAAACCACTGAGCCACAACCCCAGCCCTTTTTTATATTTTATTTAGAGACAGGGTCTCACTGAGTTGCTTAGGGCCTCACTAAGTGGCTGAGGCTGGCTCTGAACTCACAATCCTCCTGTCTCAGCCCCCCTAACCACTGAGATTACAGATGTGCACAAACACATCCGGTTCCTTGGTTATATTCTGACAAAAGGTTCCCATCAATTCTATGTACTCATATTATCAATGAAGACATAATCAATAGATTAATGGATAAAAAGAAAAGGCTCAACACCAAGTCAATCTATGATCTGTTTTCTCCTCTACTTTAATTCAAGAATTTAAAAGACTCTAACCAATGAATGCTGGGATTCCTGGATACAATGTCTCTCTCAAGGGCTTCCACCAGATCCTTATCATATCCAGCACCATCAAATTTTGGAATTTCACCATCACTTGCACCATCTTGCATATTTTTTCTTCCCTGGGGACAGGTATAAAAAAGTTCTGATCAATAACAAGATCATTTTAATTAACATCATTAAGTTTTCAAAATGTTATAATCACTTTTTTTTTTTAAATGGGAGTTGAACCAGGGGCACTCTACCACTGAGCTAAACCCTCCGCTCTATTTTTTGAGACAGGTTCTCACTAAGTTGCCCAGACTGTCCTCAAATTTGCGATCCTCCTGTCTCAGCCTCCTGTGTCACTGAGATAACAGTCATGTGCCAACATATTCAGCTATAATCATTTTTAAAATATCTTCCTACAATTTAAAATCATGTTTTCTGATTGTTCAAATGCCTTTCTTCCCTACGTATCAGAATTAGATTAACTGGTCAAATTTATTATAAATATCTTCAAACCTACATTCTTAGGGGGATAATTGCAGATAAAACGAAAATGTTCCTTGCTAGATCCAAACAGACCAAAAAAAGTCTCTCTGAACTGGTAAATGGAGAGGATTTCCACCACTGCTACAGAATAATTAGACTATTAATACATGACAAAACAGAAAATTAATTCACTGAGACTACTATGTAGCAGAAAATCCCATATACATTATTAAATATAGCAACCTGCAGGGTAGACATTATTTTTCCTTCTTTTTATAGATAAGGATAAGTAATTTAAGTTTACTAGTAAACATGAAGGTGGAGATTTATTTTTTAAGGTGAAGATTTATTCCAGTCTGTCTGCCTCCCTAAACCCATACCATTCCATCAGATCATCTCATGTCTAAGATGAATTAAAGAGGGCAGAACTATTAGATTCTCCAAAGAATCTGAGAAAGAGGCTGCAGACGAGGAAATAGTCAGGACTGGGCAACTGCATCTTACTGAGCCTTTTCCTTTAACCATAAGTAACCCCTCATGATTCAGGGTTTCTTCCAGCGGGTTTTTGAGGCCCATCATAAAGTGACTGTAATGACAAATGATAAAATGACCACTTCAAATCATATTTCTAAGATCATTAAAGCAATATGCTTTTACCCCAAATTCTTCATTTAATGACATGGTGGCTTTATTTTAAAAGTATATGCTAGGGTTTCTAGCTATGGAATATTGCCAAAATTCACTCAGCTTTGAAGACACTTACATAAAACACTAATTTACCAGAGATAGTTCAACTAGGGAACTACTTTGACAGGCAGAGGCAAATACCATGCCCATAGCATCAGCCCCAAGTTACCACATAATATAAAAATGAAGGGTGGAAATGGTTAAAGTGAGTCAACCTCCTGAAAAAAGACAACAGAACAGGGTGACCTTCTCTGATCCTATTTCTTCTGAGATAAACAAAAGGAACAATAAGTGCTGAGAAGGGACTAAATAGCTCCCTTTTGCAGATCCTCCTGTTATTTTAGCCACCAGGTAAAGACCAAACAGTATTCTAGTGAGCTGACCCCCAAATAAACAATATATCCGGGCAATATGGCAGCAGTATTAAATTAAATTTTCAAGAAAGAGCCTCACATTTCAATGACATATCAATACTGACACTATCCAAAGAAGGAAATTGCTGGCACAATGGCATACGCCTATAATCCCAGCGGCTCTGGAGGCTGAGGTAAGAGGATCACAAGTTCATAGTCATCCTCAGCAATTTAGGAAAACACTAAGCAACTCGGTGAGACCCTGTCTCTAAATAAAATACAAAATAGGGCTGGGGATGTGGCTCAGTGGTTGAGTGCCCCTGAGTTCAATCCCTGGTACCCCCCAAAAAGAGAAGTAAATTTCTGGCACCTCTACCAAACAAACATAATATAAGTTCAGCACAGAGTCACATTTTATATTACGAACAGGCCAATGCTACAAAGTTATTTAAACAAATCAATGGAACACTCTACGATTATTTTTAAATTATTCTAGAAATAAAATAACTAAGGAATACAAGAGAAACTTACACAACTACAGCTTAACAAGCCTTCACAGGGCATTGTTGCTAGTCTTGCTTTGCATCTTAAGAAATACTGAATAACAAATTATACCCAGGGAAGGATGTCCAGGGTGACAAAGGTTTAAAAAATATGCCACAAGGAAAAGGTAAGAACATTAGGGACATCTAAGCTGCAGAAGAAAATGATAATCCAGCAACACAACCAACTACAACTACCCTGCTCTATCTTACTCCAAAGAAAAGAACCAGGACCCATATCAAGTAACAAAAGAAGCAGATTTCAGATCAACAAAAGAAAGAATTTTTCTAACAATGGTCCTGTCCAACAAAGGAGTCAAATCTCTTGTTAGGCAGTGAGTTGCCTGACATGATTACTGGCTAATCAGTAATAAAAACCACTGGCCTGAAGTCATGAGGATGTCTAAGCTGAATAAGAGCTGACCTTTGATTCTTTCTGTAAAGCCACAGTCTGTCCTTGCCCAGTGTTGCCTGGACTCACTGGCCCAAGGCAAGTGCAAGATTCCTTGCACATCTCATTATTTCTTTTTTAAAAAAAGTAACTTGGTAAGGGAGAGAGAAGGGAAATTGCATGGAAATGGAAGGAGACCCTCATTGTTATACAGAATTACATATAAGAGGAAGTGAGGGGAAAGGGAAAAAAAAACAAGGGAGAGAAATGAATTATAGTAGATGGAGTAGAGAGAGAAGATGAGAGGGGAGGGGAGGGGAGGGGAGGGGAGGGGGGGATAGTAGAGGATAGGAAAGGCAGCAGAATACAACAGACACTAGTATGGCAGTATGTAAAAACGTGGATGTGTAACCGATGTGATTCTACAATCTGTATACGGGGTAAAAATAGGAGTTCATAACCCACTTGAATCAAATGTATAAAATATGATATGTCAAGAGTTTTGTAATGTTTTGAACAACTAACAAAAAAAAGAAATGCAAAAAAAAAAAGTAACTTCGTGTTCTCTTTCATATCTGTTCAGCATGTCAGACTGATAGCTTAAAGTCATACACTACTTACTGGGTGGCAGGCACTATTGTAACTTCTTGACATATATTAACTCACTTGTTCTTCCTAAAAGTCCCATGGGGTAGATACTTTTATTATTTTTACTTTACAGATGAGAAAACTGAGGATCAGAGAGGATAAGTAAATGGTCCAAAGACACACACCTAGAACCTAGGTGATTCAGCTCCAGAATCGGGGAATTTTGTTCATTCTGGCATCCTGCAGCACACACCTGGGCTACTCCTACCCTGATGTGAGCAGCAAACCCAGGAAAAGTTGGACAGGGTCGCTAAACTGCATTCTCCCCTAAGATTATTTTGCAAAGTAAAATAGGTTGATATATCAAAACAGTGCTTTATAATTTTGGTGTCATGTACTGCACTGGAATACTGATACAAAACACATTTAGGTTGAAATAATAGATCCAGAGGATTCTACATACTTACCAATATACCTGTTTTTTTTGTCAACAATATTTATGAGTACTTACTATGTGCCAGACACAGGGAATATATCAATGAACAAATACATAGAAACCCTGCCATCATGAAGCACACATACAAGTTAGAGGACACAGTATGTAAAAAAGCAAAATACGTAATAAAACATTTAGGGGCAGAATTAGCAAGTATAAATGCCTCAAGGTGGAAGTAGGCTTGGCCAGTTCCAAGAACAACAAGGAAACTAACAAAAAGGAGAAAGAGGTGTGGGGGTGGGGGGGGAAGTGGGTCAGAAGTAATGGATGCCGGTCCATGTAGGGCCTTATAGCCCATTATATGGACTTCGGATTTTAGTCTAAGACAGAAAATCAATGGAAGTTTTTGTACCAAAGAGGAACATAATCTGACCTCTGTTTAAAAGAAATTCCCTGGCTGCTATATTATAAATAGACCAGAGTAGGGGGTTGTCTTGTGCTCTATTCTACCATTTCTGTAGTACACTGACAAGCTAGCATGAGTGAACCATCCTAAGAAAGGAGAAAACATTTAAATATGGCTACTAAGAGCCACATTTAATCTTCCTATATATGAAATACCACACTGAAACAGAACTCATGAACTCCTAGTATAATAGCCCTGAACAGTGGCATTCAATGGGTAAGTGGGATTGAAAGTGGGAGTCAATGAGCAAGGTTTGAACACAGCAAAACCATTCAGTCTATGAAAATATGTTGAGTAGTCTTTTGAACAATGGGTTAAAAGATTTGAATATGAACCTTCCTGTGACCCAGGAGCTCATCCCCTCTCTCAAAGACTAAGCTGATGTTCATACTGGAAAAGAAAACAAAGTGTGGGTTTTTGTAAAAAAGCACCAACTTCCACAAATAAGGTTGGAATTACAGATCATAAGTTCAATCAAAGGGTTTAGATTTAAAGAAAAAAAAAAAAAACTAGCCAGGCACAGCGGCACACACCTGTAGTCTCAGAGGCTTGGGAGGCTGAGGAAGGAGGATTGCAAGTTCAAAGCCAGCCTCATCAAAAGCAAGGTGGCTAAGCAACTCAGTGAGGCCCTGTCTCTAAATAAAACACAAAACAGGGCTGTGGATGTGGCTCAGTGGTGAGTGCCCCTGAATTCAGTCCCTGGTACAAAAAACAAACAAACAAACAAAAAAAAAACTACTTTATTATAACATAATAATGTTTTTAAAACCAGCTCTATAAATTAGCTGCCATAATATTTAAAAAAAAAAAAATTGTGCTGTGATTTACTATCCAAAGGCCAGAATATTTCTTAGGACCAAGTCACTGAAAATACAAATGGTTAATAAGCATACGAAAGGGTTTTCAATCTCATAAATTATAAGGCAAATGCACAATACACAGTAAACATGCTGGTAAAATCACAAGTAATACGATTACACCTAAAAAAGACTGGCAACGTTAAATGCTGGCAAGCATGTGTAGCATCATTCTCCACAGGTAAGAATGGAAACTAGATCACTACTTTGCCAAAGTACTTGGTATTATATACTAAAGTTTAATTCATAGAAATCCTATAACCCAACAATTCCACTCCTAGGGATATACTCTCCAGAAACACACACATACATACACACACACACACACACACACGCACACGCACCTCAAAGGAGATGAATATAATGATCTCAGGTAGCATTATTCATAACAGTTCCAAACTAAAAGCAATTCAAATATCCATTGACAAGAAATAGATTTAATTGGGCTAGGGCTGGGGCTCAGCGGTAGGGCACTCGCCTAGCACATGCAAGGCCCTGGGTTCGATCCTCAGCACCACATTAAAAAAATAAATAAAATAAAGGTACGGTGTCCAAGCACAACTAAAAAAGGAAATATATTTAATTACACATATACTATATAACAATGAAAATAAACTAGTGTATTTGCAACAGCATGGAAGACTCTCACAAATATATTTAGCAAAAAAAAAAAAAAAAAAGCCAGATGCAAAAGAATGTTTAACTGTACATAAAGTTTCAAATGAGGCATAGATAATCTATAGCACTAGAAAGCAGAAGAGTGGTTGCCTCTGGGAAAGAAGAAAATGGCAGAAATTAGAAGAGATCATGAACATAACTTCTGAGGGACCAAATGTTCTACTTTTTGACCCTGAGGGTTACATCTATTATAGGACAGTTACAAGTTACATAACAATGCTATGCTGGAACTGTTTCTTTTTGACTTGTGAGAGTCAATAATTAAATTTTCAGGAATTTTGTGAGCCAGCTATGAAACACTGCCATTAGTAAAAAGTAAATTACACAAATTTAGAATGTATTATATTTTTAGAAAAAAATAGTACTCAAAATTCCTTTCTTCTAATGACCTTAGCATTATCTATTCTCTGGAGGTTACTCAAACCTACAGTATCTGTATGGTGGAAACACTGTATGGTAGAAGGCTACCCATTCTCACCTAGAATCATTTCAGTGGCATCATGTGGAAATCTGTCACAGTGGAGGTATTTATAACAGAGAAATTAGCAAATGCTATGCTACAAAAAGAGCTGGATTTGTTCTGTTGATTGTCTAGACTTTAGAAGTGAAGAGAAAATTTTTAATAATGCAATTAAACTTAAAAGTGTGTCAGTTCAATTGTTGTTACATTATAAATAGCACACAAAAAAATTCTTCCACATGAGTAAATTATCCAAATTATCAAAGCTGCTCAAGTCACTGGTGAATAAGTGAATTCCAGCATATTTTTATTGTTTAATTACCATCTTACTAATAAAAACACATTATCCACCAACATTCATTTCAGCAGTACATTTCCCCATCAAATGCAAATGCAGGCCAGGTACAGATATGAAAATTGGGCCAAATCAGCAAAAGCATTCTGTGAGAGTCCACTGGCTCTATGAAATTTATAATAAAAATAATATAAGGTAGTTTACTGTTTATAAATTATGTGCTACACAACTTTTCTTTCAGATTTATAACAAACTCGCGTGTGAATGTGTACTTGTGCACGAGAGTCCTCAAGGACAAGTAAATTTGCTACTACACTAAAAATTCAAATACACAAAGAACCTTGGGCAAGATATGTAATTTCTCTTATCCTCACTTTTTTATATCAATAAAGTGAGTTGTGAGAGTACAGCAGCAGCTTTCAAAATTCTGACCATGACTTAACACAATAAATGCACTTTAGATCATAAGCTAGAATACAAAAATATGTATTTACATAACTAAATTTTTTCTCATACTGTCTTTATTATGGGCAATAAACTGAATTTTCTTGTTTGTTTGTTTGTTTGTTTATTTATTTATGCTGATTTTAAAATGAAGCTGACCAAGGTGGGGTATAGGGACAGAGACTATAAAGGATGCTTCCAATATTCACTTTCAAATTACCTCTCAATGGAATAGGATATTTATCAGTTTTACCTAATAGCTTCAAACCCTATCATAGAATTCAGTTAGTTTCAGGAACTGCAGTATTCTAATGAATATTTGAGGGTTATGATAATCGGAACCAAACAAATACACCTTTCAAATTCTAAGGAAGTTTCCATGAGTTTGTTTAGTTTCTTTTATTTTTAGTGACAGAAAATCCTTTATTTCTGAACAAGTAGAAGGTTTCTCTCTCTCTTTTTTTTTTAATAAATGGCTTACTTTACAGTGACATTCTGAGTACCTAAATGTCAATAAAAAAAAGCTAATATTTAGAAAATTATTTGAAAACATCATAAATGAAAGACTATCTTATAACCTCCAGACAAAAAGGTATTGGATATTCAAATGCTGCTTGGTTGTTTTGTTCTCAGCTTCAGCATCATTAACACATTTAAAAATCAACATTTACTTATTCTAGATTATTTTTTTCAAATCTAATTCAGATTTTAACAATCTAGTTTGATATGTAAGAATACTACATAATATGGGAAGGGGGGAATACAAAGATATGTGACTTTACAAATTCCATTCTTCTAGGCTTCATTTTTCACTCCTGGCAAGTTACTTTAGCACTATATACCACAGTTTTCTCATCTGTAAAATAGCAATAATAAGATACCTACTCCTTGAAACTGCTGCATGAATTATTATGTAATCACTCTGAATGGTGCCTAGCAATAGAAGCATCCAATAAACCATGGCCACAGTTCTTCTCTTATACTACATGAAATTAAAGACAAAGTTCATTATCTTGTTCTAAAAGTTTACCTAAAAGCTAATATCAGAGTGAGGGTTGGACTTCAATCCCTACTTTTATTCTCTAAAATGCAAACTAAGGTTAGCTGAACAAAAATGAGAAACAAAGAAAGAAACAAAGATGATACTTAACATACATATTTTCAAGATCCATTTGTATGGCTTTTAATAATGGGGGGAAACCAGCTCAATTTCTTAGCAGGAAATAATTTATTGGTATCATCATTAATTCCAAAAAGGACCTGAGATGGATTCGCCTACTGTTTATGAAAATTTATTTCAACAAATCACAAACAGCCAAAAAATCTAATCCATTTTCAGTATCTTCATAAGGTAGAGAGGTACAATATTGTCTTTGACTCTCTCTCTTGAGTAGAAATACCCAGAAAACACCAGTTTTATTCTGTCAGTCTCAACATTCCTAATGCCTAGGAAGCTGGTCTATTTTGAGTCCAATGGAAGTTTTCTCATTAAAGAAAACAAGTCTTATTGCACTTTACAATTCCGGCTAAATAAATTTTTTTATTTTTAGCAGTAGTAAATCATATTCCTCATCTCATTCTGTGAATCTCCTTTCTTATAAGTCTTTCTCCTACAACTATGTTTTCATTTATTATTCATTTTCATTCCAAATATTTGTTAAAAATACTGTTTTTAAAGTGTCCAAACTATTTGAAATACTGCTACAAAGTATCTGTTTTACTAAATACTTGTATGGTGTCCATGTTTGCTCTCTGAGGTCTTTTACATTGCAGCATGGCCTTCAAAATATAAAGATCACTCAGGTTTTGAATCAGACTCTTCTTTTAACTCTTTCACATTAAAACCATGGACCCTGAAAAGCCAATAAAAACCGTAATACCACCAAAGTCAGGGTTTCAAGTGAGTGAATTACAAAGAGACAGTCTTGCCTTGTCATCTCTCCCTCTTGCTCTACAATCCTTGTCCCTACTTGTAGGTTTCTCACTCTTTGATATGGGATGTGCTCGGCCTACAGGTCCCCGGGCTCCTACTCCTGCCATTTCTTTCCTCAGAGGTCTTACTTCTCGATTGGGACGCCTGATTTGAGGTGGAGCTCTGACAAAAAAAAATAAAAGTAAAAAATAAAAATTAATCAAGGACAAAAGTATTTTAATACTACCTTAGTAAATAAAACTGTTAAGTCAAGAAAGCCCAAAATCTCATATTTCCAACTCATGACCATGACTACTAGGCTGGTTTTCAATTTTTATTTTTTAAAGCACATTGTTTGATAGAATTATTACATACATATAAATGATACATAAGGTAGCACTTTGCCAAAGTAGCTATTAATCACCAATAGAGGGCAACACAGACTACCCCCTGTAATAAATAATAGCATAATGGAAGACCAATTACTTTACTCATTGCTATCCTAAACCAATAATAGATAACTTTTTAAAAAGCATTAAAAGCTATTCTTGAAGAGTTCAAAATAACTATTTGCATAGTTTACAATTTTTTTAAAACAACCAAGATGTTTTTCTCTGCTTCTGTACTGAAAAATTCAACATTTCACTCATCAAATTACAAATGACAGGACTTAACAATGAAATTTTCTTATAAACAAAGTAATCTCTTTGTAAAAATATTATTCATGCTTTAAAGTGTCCAAAATCACAGGATCATTTAAGTTAAACTGCCTCCAAATGTGATTAAGAATCATGATAAACACATGTGTGTGCACACAGAATAGCATATTTTGTTTCTTACAATGTGAAACTTGTCTCCTTCACACAGTAAAGATCTGAGGTTTCTCAGCCAGTATTTAGTAATCTCTGTATCTTGGGTGAGGGATCTTTATCATTTTGTGTCTAATCTTAGTTGTTCTTCCTTGACCAGTCTCTTCAGTATTCCTTCCTTGTTTCTCTTGATGGCTGTGCTCATGTAGCACTTCAGATCCCTTCTAGGTGTTGCTTATTCGTCCCTGTACCATACCTATTATTCCTTTCTCACCCTCCTGCTTTTAATTCACCTAACTCATCAGTGAGTTTAATTCCTAGTGTCAGTAAAGTTGACGTAGTATATAACTGTACAAATCCAACAAGATAGAAAAATGGATGAAAAATTGTAAAGGTGGTAAACTTAGTGCAAAACATTTTGGTGCAAAAAAGTTAAAAAAGGGCCAATGTGTTGCCAGTCTAAATATAGTATATTCAGACTGTTGGAATTATACTACAACCTGAAACTGCAAAGATAAAAATGGATGGTGAAAAACGGTGTCTCCCTTATAGATACAATTAGGTTACCATAACCTGACATCTTACTCCCTGGAGTTTAGTCCAGTTAAATATTTACTGAACGCCCATTAGGTAGAAAACAGCCTATAAGAAATGAAAATAAATAAGCAATCTTGTAAAAAAAAAAAATCACTGGAAAGGAAATAGAAAATAATGCATACTAAAATGGATATAAGGCACTTTGAAACTTAAAGTATTATTACATCATTGGTTCTTAGGACATTATTAAAAGTCTTTTCAGCATTCTGTCAATAAAATAAAAATGCAATTAGACTGATAAAGAATTCAAGACTAATAATGATAAACTGCTCTATTTCCAGAACTTCAATGCAACCACTGGGGTTTTTTTTTTTGGTTGTTTGTTTTTAACCTATTTTTTTTTTCTATTGTGAAGAGGTAGAAAGTAGTACAACTTTGCTTTTATTTATATATATGTGTGCATAACATCTTTCCTGAATCATATTCATGAGTACAACCAAAGTCAGTATTATGAGACCAACAATCTCAACCAACCAGAACACATGTCAAGTTTGCCCTTTTGTTAGCAGCTATGCCTACTATTTAAACATCTGTCACTGTTTGTGGTCCTGCTTTGTAGACTCAACAGCCAGCCAGCCAAAAGCCTCTCTGCTCACCAACGGCAAGGCCAGCCCTTACAGCCACAGAGCACAAAGCTCTGCAGCTGCTGGGTCTGCCTGTTAGGCCTCACTGCTTAGGGTCAATCTTGAGACAGTCCTTCCACCTTAGGTTATGCTTTCCCCCTGCAACTTGTTATTAATAGTCATGTAGGAGCTCTACCACAGACCATTTTGTATACACATCTAGCTCAGGAAGGCAATGTAGTAGAATCATTTCAAATTATTTCAGAGCTGGCACATAGGCTGCCAAGTATTTGCTGTTGCTGACCTTGTCCTGCCACTCAATATTCTGATGGGCTCATAAATGGTCTGAATGAAACTGCTCAAGTAGCCAGATGTTCCATTTGTGTCAAGTCCCATGTCTCACAGGAAGTGTGCCTGTGCTTTGGAAGTCTTCAGTTCCATCTCACTGCAGTTTGATATTACATTTGTAACAGACTCTGACAACTTCCCAAAGGACATCCTTGATTCTGTTCTGTACTTCTTTGTCCATTAGCGCATCACTGCACAATGTCATGCTTCACTTTAAGGACTCAGTGACAGCTTCCAGGCTGTGTAAACAATAAAACTCTCAAGGCTTCTTTTGCTAAGTATCTCTTTAGAAAGACACTTTATTAGGGTTACACAGCATCACTGACCTCTGTCCTAATGGTCAAAAAGACTGACACTATACTAGCCTACAGCATTTCAAATACAGAGAATAACTGATCTAATAACTATTTAGATATATAGATGAAGACAAAAATGTCCACTCTGTGCTCACTCCTCCTACTTGTGATCTCCCTATAGGAATAAGAAATACACCATATTCTCTCTTGTGCGCATGTGCCTGATTTCCTCTGAAATACAGTATTTCCTTTTTCTCATCAATGTTATACATGTTTTTATCAATACTGCTTGTAATAAACACCTGAAAATAATCCAAATATCCATTATCAAAATAGGTAAATTACATATTCATAATCGGTCATACTAGACAAGTGAACGTAATTACAGCTACTCAAATAATGACAGATGAATCTCACAACCATATGTTGAGTGAAAAAACAAGTTCAAAGCACAAAGACAATAAGAGTCCAAGCAAAATAAGATACGGCTTGGTGATACCAACATATGTAGTCAAAATATAAAGTGAGGTTAAGGGAAAGATAAGACTCTAAATTCAGAACAGTAGTTGATATCCCTCTCTGAAATAGAGGGAAGGGAACAGGATGTGGAGAAGCACACATGACTTCAAAGGTCATACCGTAAAGTTCTTTACCTTAAATTAATGGTAGGTACATCATAATATATTACCTTGTGATTCTTTATATCTTACATAATTGTGATTTTTCTACTAAGAAGTTAATAAAATGTTAAATATGAATTATAACACTAGTTAAATATTTGAGTACCTAAGAAATGAAACTGTAGGGTTGCTCTAAGTTTTAGCATATGCAGGCAAATAAGGGCTCAGATTATACATCTAAAAAACTAAACCTCCTGGATCTGAACCTGGCAAATCTCCATAAAATATCAGGCAACAGAAATAGGATTGTCTGTTTGGTAGACATTCCATGAAGTCTAAGGAAGAGAGACCTCTTCCAAGGGGCCTTGCATCCCATACCATGCTAAGAAACAGGGTCTGCTCTACTGTTACAACTTTCTCCAAGACACAAAGGTTCCTTCCTTCTTAGAGCTACTGAGCATTCCACTTCCCCTTTCTGTTTGGTGATGATTTTAAACTCCTTGGTTACATCTATTTGTCCATCATTGTTAGAATCCTGGCATTTGAGTAAATAATTTGGAACAGGAGGATTTTTGTCCAAGAACTTTAATTCACATTACTTAAAGCTAACTTTTAGAAAAGAAAGACAATCTTACTTTGCTATTACGTTAATCTATGTAACTTTGGAATTAAATAAAAAGGAAAACACAACTCTTCCCATAGGTAATACAAAGATAAGAAACATAAATTTGAAGTACTTCATACAGACATTTTCACTAAAGGATTCAGAGTCAAAACATGAGACTTCTGAATATAAGATAAATTACTTAATGAAAAACAAGCAAAGAGAAAAAAGTTTAAACCTGTGATCTGAAATTATTCAGTGATGATTATAAACTCAGATATCTATTCATCAGATATATAACTTGTTTTTTCAAATTAGAAAATATTTATTGTGTATCTAATAATACAGAAACTATGCTAGATGTTATGATTGTCCTAAAAATACTGCAAACATACAGTGAAACAGAATGGTAACCTGAAATCAGCAGATTTAGAATCCTAAAACCTGAGTACCTTTTTACTCCCAGGTCTACTAATTACTGAATATATGTATGTGCATATCAATATCTACAAGATTCACATTCTTCCTCTGTAAATGGGATGATGATAATAATATATTATGAACTTTTTAACTTTACTTTTCATTTGAGTACAACCTACATATAGTAAAATGAACAACTATTAAGAATACAACTCAAAAAGTTGTACCATATAACTACCAATTGGTCAAAAACAACAAGCATTTCCTAATATTCCAGAAAGCTCTCTTAGGGCTTTCTCTTGGTCAATACAAGTCCCTATAAATGCAACTACTATTCTGACTTTAACATTATAGATTAATTTTGCCTATTCTTCAGTTTCATATAAATGGAATCCTACAGTACATTTTCTGTGTCTGCTTACTTTCTTTCAGCATTACCTGAAAATTCCATCCATGTTGTTGCATTCATTGCTGTGTAGTATTCTACCACATAAATCTACTAGGTTATCTATTCCACTGAGGATTTTTTTTTTTTCAGTTATAATTAAGGCTGCTATGAATATGAGCATTGTGTCCATATAATGAAGACTTAATTCTTTGAGGTACACACTAAGCAGTGAAGCTGCTGAGTCATAAGTATATTAAAGATTAGTTTTATTAAATAGAGTCTTCCAAAGTGGTAATACTGCCAGTTTTCCCATTTTAGTCATTTGGGTGGGGATGTAGTAGCATCTCATCGTGAGCTGCCTTTCTGAAAGGACTACGGATATTAAGCATCTTTTCATCTGCTTTCAGCCTTGTATATATATTTTATTTTTTAAAATGGCTGTTCCAGTCTTTTGTCCATGCTTTCAAAATCATATTCTTTTTTACTAATTTACCGATTATTGTTAAGACAATCATTTGTATATTACAATTACCTTCTT